GAAAATTTGGAAGAAAAAGAGATGCAAACTCTAGTGGAAGAAAAATAACATATTTTGCATCACATATTTATTTATTCTCTTCCTTTACACAAAAAATAAATAAATAATAGAGGCATCAATCGTATTAGTCACTGATTGATATATATATATATATATATATATATATATATATATATATTCACTTAACAAGCAAATTACCACTTAAAAGATGCCAATAAATAATAACAAAAACAAAAATTTTATAGAACTAAAAAGGTAAAAAAATTATTGAAGACTAGAAACAAAATCTAAAAAGTTTCTAGGAAACAAAGGCAATCAAATTAATTACAAGCGGTAGTCCTACTCAGTTGATGTCAAGTCACTTAATAAAAAGCTTATGACTTAATAAATACTACTAAAGACAGATGTTAAATACAATCTCAAGATCAAAATGATTTTTTTATTAATGACTATTAACAAAATTGTCAAGTTTACGAAGGATTTAAAAAAATTTAAATATGGTTTATATTCTTAATAAAATAGCATAATATTCTAGAAGTACATTTTCTCCGTAAATATCTTTTCTTGCAAACCAATTTTTTTAAAACAAACAGTGGAATTGAACATGTTCAAATTCATAAATAGACTATTTTATTATTATACTAATGAAAAATGTTTACTGAATTTATTAATCTTTGATTATTGGTAATTAAAACCTGATCAATCACTCTTAAGGAAGTTTCTTCACCCAATTATTATCATTTTTACAATATTCGATTTTATGATTTGTTTTAAAATACCAGCGTAATTTTAGTCACAGTTTTGATGATTAATTATTTGCACGGCATTAAAAAGCCCCAAGTCTATGGTCGGTTTAGGGTTTATATTATTAAAAACATTTTGAAAAGTCATAGACTATCCAAAATTGCTTTCTAAACACCCTTATAAGTTGTGAAAAAATTTCTTACGAAACCATTATAATATTACTCCTAAATATCTACTTAAAAAATATATAATATATTTGTACTGCAAAAATACTATACACATATATTAAATTTTTATTTAATGATAATATGTGCTTCAATCCTACGTCTTTCAGAAAAAAAAAATTATTTATCAAACTTATTAACTGTTTTAAATTTCTTAGTAACACAGGTCTTTACAACGCATAGTAAACTGTAAACAAAAACTAAATATTTAATTTAAAAAAAATTAAAGCTATACATTATTTATATTTTTAACTAATTAAGACGGCTAATAAATGATGCATTGGTTCGTTTAAACAAAATCCTTATTGAAAGATTAATTGGTTTTTAGAAAATTGATTAATAACCTGTTTTGTGTTATAAGTTCCTTGACTCTTCCTCATTTAATGACAGACATGAACAAAATTAATCGAGTATTAAAAGGATTGCAAAAAGAAAAAAAAATGAGAATATGTAAGTTATCCCCTTAAAATTATTTAAGGTCCCTAAAATCATTATGTATTCCAATTATTAAATGGAATTATCATGTTCCATCTTCGTGTCTTTTAATAGTTTAGTTAAAGCTCTTTTCGCTGGTTTTTGTGGTTCCTTGCCGCAAAGTATATGCAGTGTTTAGTTTAGTCTTTTAAGGTGGCGGCTGTTTTAGTGCTTATAAAATGCAGAAGTCAACATATTTAGCAGTATGTCGGTGAGAAAATTGTGGTTCATCGGCAATCCATGCTTACCAAATTTAATGGCGCTGATGTCAACAAGCCGTTAATCAGTTAAGAAGCTGTCTATCTTTTGAGACCAAATCTACAGAAACAAACATTCAAGCCTTGTATATGTATTTCATTTCTCCTTTAAAAGTTTGTAAACATCTTCTAGGTTGTCTTTTCTCTATAGCTGTAAAATATATTTATAAACATATGTTAAAAAACAATTTAAATTATGTACACAATTAACCAAAACAGGAGCAAATTGAAAATATGGAAATCTATTTTTTAAAACATAGAAAGTAAAATTTGAAACGAAAACTTGATAACAGGATTAGTTAAGATGTATTTGTATTGGATGGCTGATGATGCGTGTTTAATTTTTTTCTAAGGTCGACCAAAACTTTAGTGTAATTAAATATGGCTAAAAAATTTGGTATGGCAATAAAGTAACTTACACTCCTAGTAGAAAATGTAGACTTTGATCACCAAAATAATTTTGGAATTTCACAACGTTTAAGTTTGGAGGAATTACTATGCAAATTTAGAAAACAAAACTCATTAATACAAGGATCTTAATGCAAAAAATAATATTGTTTGAAAAATTTTAACAGTCATATACCTAAAAATTAAATTATAAATAACTAATTATAAATAACTAATTATAAGAAAAAAGGAAAGTCAAGTTGGCTTTGGAAACATTAATTTGAAAATATTAGAACATGAAAGGATTATTGAAGAACTGAGACTAATGATAATAAATTAAAGAGTTCAAGATTGTTGATTGCTGCTTTTTATATTGTTTCCATCGTTATTAAGTAAGAAACAATTTACGTTATTATTAAATTATAATTAAAAATTAGTAAATATTGTGATGCATGTTAAGAATTTCAGATACTAAATATTTTTATGTTAGCTTGAACCTGGAGTGATCATTGCATGCGATTTCTTGCTAATTAATTAAATTGTTGAACTAAGAAAAACTCATATTATAGCTGTCAACCAAGAAATTTGAAGAAATGCAATTATGCAACAGAGTGTTTTTAATATTGCGTGGACGGAAAGTCTTCCTCTATTGGCACCCATCCGTCCGTCCATTGCCACCGACTATTGTCGTACTTTTCATTTCATCCGTTCGATTCTCCATTAAGTTAAGCGTCAACCCATCCACCAACATCATATTGTATCATTCCGACAAACAAACGCTTAACTAATCCCTTATTTAATCATTCACTAATATTCTATTCTTCTAAATATCTTACTGATAGATGATGCTCCTAATACTGAATAAATATGTTTTCTTTCTCTGTAATTAATTACTTAAGTATTGTTAAAGATATATGAAAATTTGAAGTAATTAATTATCATACAAAAATAGCAGTTTTAACATACACAACACTTTATAGTTTATAATTTATTGAAAGATTACTTTTTATATTGTAAGTGTATTTTAAATTAAATTTATATATTTAGTATTTTTTTTATCAACAAATTAATATATTAGTTTTTCTAAAAGATGGATTCAAACCCGTAGACTTATCCATCCTCCATCTACTTTTACCTCTAGACAAATGTTATATCTTCATCATATATTTAAGATATATTTGATTTTAAAACATAATATGCATTTATTCTTTTCTATCAATTAAAAATGTATAAGATTATCCAAATGATAATTACAACGCTTTGAACCAAAAGTAATTTTCTTGTTTTACTCTTGATTTAATTTTAAAATTTCGCATTTGACCTAAATTTTAATGCTCCAATACTTTTTAATATATATATTTTCAAATTGTAACCAATTAAAAAAAAAACTTCTAGGGAACGATGTATTCGTGAATTCTCAATTCTTTGCGTAGTCAACTGTTTAGCAACGCTACCACCCCTTTCCAAGCAATTTGAACATTATTCACAATATTTCTTTGTGAAGACATCCTAAAAATTATTTGACAATTAAAGAAATGAATCTTCTTGAAAAGATATCCGTAATATTTTTAAAAACCAAGAAAGAAGATGAACTCTGGCGACAAATGAAAAGAAACATATAATGAAATAAAGCTAAAATATGTTTTTTTTTAATTTTGCATTCTGTTTTTAATAATTTTCTGACATGCAGTCTTTAAAATATTACCAGATTTTATATTTGTCATTTAAAAATATATTTTATTACTTTTATTATTATATGATTTTTTATTATTAAAATATGTATAGATTTTTTTTACGATTATTTTAAACATAATAATTTTATTATATGATAAAATATGTGTATTGTGTGGTCCGGACGGTCACAAAGACCCCACAATACTAAGTTGGTCAGGATGATTTTACACTACATGAATGTGCTAGAGTAACTGAGTGCAACAGAATCAGCAGATATGACTACCCAGTCTTAGGTTGAACGGTCAGTCTGAATCAATGATCAGGTTCCCACACAGATTAAGGTAATAAATGACTATAGATATTGGGATATGCTAAGATTGGACCGTGATTAAGATTTCACTAATTTTAAGTCAATGTTGAAAACTATAAATACAGGTCAAACGTAAGAGATAAGTGTTCACATTTACTACTGCTACATTGAACTTCGGTCTGGATAGCCAACTGACTTAAGCATCGAAGAACCTTGGACAAGTAGACCCCTGGATAACGGAGTCAAGACGAAGATGAGAAACACAGACCAACCGCTTCCTAGAAAAAATTGTGTAGGTATTGAAGTTGCTTGACCTCACATCCGATAGATAACGTGAATAAAAACAATAGAACGAGAATACCATATTAAATTTGTATTTTTTTTATGAAATAAACACTTTTAAATTTTTAGTACATTTTATTAATACAATTTATTTTCTAAAAACAATATTTAAGTATTTATATTAAAATATTAAAACTTAAAATTGATGTGGTGAAGTAACACCTGTTGTTAATTTGATAATAGTAAATAGTTAAAGAATATATTAAGTATCGAATATGAAAAAAATGTATAGAGAAAAGTAAAGTAAAATATGAAAAGAGATGAGTGATGAGATAGAGTGAGAGAGTAGAGAGTATAGAGAGGCGTGACCCGTCCACGTCGGCAACGGATGACATTGGGCAGAAGAGGGTACGTGGAATGTATGAAATAGGAGCAAAAAAATGGGGCTTTGAAATGAGAGAGAGATAGGTGTGATGGATTGTGTCGGCCATCTTTGGATTTATCTTAAAGAAAGCTCAACGTGGCGGCCGTACCAGACGACAGACTAGAAGCCAAGTGGGAAACTCATTCCCTTCTCTTCACCCTCTTCTCCCCCATTCATTCATCATTCCTTCAATAATATAATATTAATATTCCTTTCCACACAAACTATTTCCCATTTTCCAACCTCCATATAAATACGAACCAATAGAACAGCAACATCGTTTCACTCTCTTCACGGACCCTATCAAAACCGTTTCCTTCCACTTCCCAGCTGCACACAAAAATTATCATATTCAGAAACATGGTTTTCGATAGGTAGCCGGTAGGTGTGGTAGCTGTCAAGGGGATTTCCGTAGCAGATATGGAAGAAGGTTTAGGAGACTGCTGTTCCTCCAACTCCACCACCACCAGGAAAACCCAGAAACGGAAGCAGCAACAACACCAAGACAAACCATACAGAGGAATAAGGATGAGGAAGTGGGGGAAGTGGGTGGCGGAGATTAGAGAACCCAACAAGAGGTCCAGGATCTGGCTGGGTTCTTACGCCACCCCTGTCGCTGCCGCACGCGCCTACGACACCGCCGTCTTCTACCTCAGAGGCCCTTCCGCCCGCCTCAATTTCCCCGAACTGTTGTTCCAAGACGACGACGTCTCAACCCAAGAGGGCAACATGTCCGCTGATTGTATACGCAAGAAAGCGACCCAAGTCGGCGCGAGAGTCGACGCGCTCCAAACCGCGCTTCAATCATCGTCGTCCCACTCCGCTAATTCCAGCCACGTCAGCTATGCCAAACCAGACTTGAACGAGTATCCAAAACCCGAAGATTAGTTTCCAGCGATCCTTTATGTTTCAAAACCTTTATATAGAATTATTCTCATATCATATATCTGGGTATATATTTCATATTTTCTTCCACTTTACTTTAAATTAGAACCTAGGAAGAAATACACACACACACACACACCGGAGACGAGGCTAACTTATTCATGAGGTGAGTGAGTAACTCATACACGTATCGCTCACTTCTAGAAGAACAAAGTTTAGCTCTTAACCAATCGAATGAGATCGTGTAACAGATTTTTTCTTTTTTTTTTCAATTGTGTATGCCGAAGTCGTAGACTGGTAGCATAGGATGTGGTCTTTTCTAGGTCGGTGGTGTGTTGTAAACATGTAATATGTAACGAGATATGTATCTGATGGTTGGACTAGTCACAATCGAAATGAAATTATTGTCGTTGCAGATTTTCTTTATGCATATATGTATGTAGTGATAAATTGGGTAATTTGATATTCATATGTAGTGTTTGGAACCCTGCGTGTGTTATCTGGATGAGAAGTGAAAAAAAGAGGAAATGATGAGAACAGCAGTGGCCCAAGAAAGAAAGAGTAATGTTTGAGTTGAGGAGTAGCAGAAGAGAAGAGTGGTAACAAGTGGATCTGGAGATAAGGAAGAATCGAGCAGAAAAGCAGCCCACAGAAAATTGATATTTGAATTTTGTTAAAAGAATATGCGAGATAGGCGGAGAACAGTGTGGGTCTATCCGAAAGTGAGGCAGTCAGTTGTCAGAGTGGTGGGAAAGTTTGAGTTTAGGATAGTTGCGTTTGATACACATTCAAAGCGTAGGGCCTCACCCACCTCTCATCTCTCTTTAGTTTTTTTAAATAATATACTTTCGTCTTTCTTTTGTTTTCCCTTCGCACTCTTCCACATCACGTTTCCTTAAAAAACAAAGCTCCACATACTGTCAAAATGTTTCTATCAATAACTTATATTACGTGGTCCAATCATTTTTTTTTCTAATCAGTTTTTCCATTTCATAACTCATCATTTAACCACCAATACACAACTGTTATTTGTTTTGACGCCTGAGAAATTTCTTATTTGGTCTTAAATTTGGAAATTAGTAAAAATTTTGTTGTTTACCTTCCTCTTTAAAAAGTAACCAAGTAGCAGTGTTTTGTTGAATAAAAAGTTTGTGATTTCTAGGTCTGATCTGCACCTTTGACGTGTAGGATAAACTATGGCAGTGTGCGGGAGTGTCCCTCTCCAATCATTGATTTCCCTTGGTCGGACTTCAAAGAACCAATGCCATATACTTTTCTACACTCCTATAAAAGATCACATATACTTCTACTCCATGGCTTAAACCCACTCGTGTACAAGAGTAAAATAAATAAAACCACTACATATAAGCTTTTAGTTTTTTAACTTACATCCACAAATGTCCAGTAAATATTCATATATGCGAAAAACAAAATTACATATCCAAATCCTCATACGTCAAGTACATTTATTGAATTGTGATAATAATATTTCAAATCAATTCTTCATTCTTATAATAGTTTTTATTTTTCTCTCTTAGCGGCGATGAAGAGAGATATAGAATAAAATTTGTAATATTACCTTCCTTCCAAATGAGACCATAATCCATTTGGTAACTTTTGTCAATTACTTTTCCGATTTTAATAATTTCAATTTCATCTCTCATCAAGTTAGAATATCATTTTATGGTATCTACATAATAACCTATTATGATAATTATGTCCTTAATCATGTGTCACTTTAAAATTTTAACTAAATAAATAATAATCCTAATACACAAATAATATATATATATATATATATATATATATATATATATATATATATTATAATCCAAAAATACTATAACATCCTAGTTCACAAATAAGTTTAGATTACCCCCTTCTTACTACTCAATTTCTTCTCTAGCTTATTGGAAATAATTTTATATATACCTTCCTATACTAAAAAGCCAGCCAAACAAATTTAAAAATATGCAATATTCACTATAAGGTAATATAACTAATAAAATTTAAGGTTTCAATAACTTTTTGATTTGCATAAATTAGTGAATTCTGTATGTGGTCTTTAATAGTCTTTTTTCTTGTTTGGTCCTTAATAATAATAATAAAAATCTATTATTTAATGATAGTCGTGAAGTGATTATCTATTTATTAATTGAGAATAAATGCCTGAATATGATTTATTTTTTATCATTGTTTTCCCAATAAATTTTTTATTTTTTAATATTTTTTTCTTTTTAATCCCTCGGAAGTTTGTATTTGTAACTGGTCTTGTGATTTATGGACATGTTTTACGTGAATAAAAAAACATTGGGTACTGAAAGGAAAATATAGTCACGTAAAACATGTCCATAAATCATATAAAACTAAGAGTGTTTCATTCTACACCTCAGAGATCTCATCCTGCACCTTCAAAAAATTTCACTTTTAACCTTCTGACATCTCATCATTATCCTACACCTTTAACTTTATAGAAAATTTTATTTTTAATTTTAATAAATATATTTTTATTTTCTTCTTTTTCTTGTTAAAAAGACTCTATAACACCTTAATAATAACTAAATTTAAAATTCAAATATTATTTAATATAATTTTATATTTTAATAATTATTAAAAATATGATTTATGTTATAATAATAATTATATTAAAAATATAAAAATAAAATAATTAAAAATAAAAATAATAAAAATTATTATTAAGGTAGTGAAGATTGTTTTTAATAAAAAAGAAAAGAAAATGGAAAAATATTTATTAAAGTTAAAAATAAAGTTTTGAAAAAGTTGGAGGTGTAGGATGAGATGTCAGAAGGTTAAAAGTGGAATTTTTGGAAGTACATGATGAGATCTTGGAGGTGTAGAATGAAATACTCTAAAACTAAACTTATTTTATAAGGAAAAAGAATAAAAGAAATAGATGTCAAAATAAAGATATTTAGTCAATACATTAAATTTTATAATGTGAACCATTAATCCAATACTATATAAAGTATTGCTAAAACTCAATGCAATACAAAAATTATAATTAATGGAGTAAATGTAGTAATACTAAATATTAAATGTCAAGTGAAAAAAGTTATAAGAACTTGATTGATGCTAACCCCTATCGATAATAGGGTCAAAAGAATAGAAAAACAAGATAATGGCCCTATGGATTTTCCTTTGTAGAAAGGGTTGGTGAGAATGAAGAAGCATTTGAAAAAAAGCAACCTCCATGCGTGTTCAAAGTTAGCAAAATGATCAGCACGTCAATTTGCCTCGCACAAACATGTGTCAACACCACCAGCCCTTCATGCTGCTTCAAGAGATTCAACATTCATTTCTCTTACCAAGTTGAAACAATGCTGAGACATGGGACAATGACATGCAATGCTATTTGATAATCCATCAGAAACATCAACTTTCCACATGCAAAGGGAACTACCAGATTTCAGGCCATAAAGCAGTCTCTAAAGCTTAGCTTTATCTTAGAATCCTTATGAAAGAACCATCATCAATCCCTAAAGCTTTACTTTGATGGTGGAATCCTTTTGTGAAAAACCCATTATCTCACATTCAAAAAGACCCTAATATTTATTTATTTATTTATCAATAAATATTAATGGTTAATTTTTATTATCGAAGGAATTAAATTCACATCCTTTCCTTTTAAATCTTTTAAACCAATCTTATATTTCATATCCCACCATATTATATTCGAATTGTTTCTTTGACCCCTGTCAATGATAAGTTATTATTCATCCGACCTCTTAAATATAAGTTCTAAAAATTCATTCATTGGATTTCGG